AGCTCCTTTTCCTCCTCTCCCAAATTTCCTGTTCAACTCAGGGTTACTAGAACATTTGTCACTTTATTTTCAATGCTGAGGTTTATTTTGTAGAATGTAATTTCAAATGTATTGAGAAATCTTAGTCACATTCCAAAATTTGTTTAATCTGTGAATTACAAACTTTATCTTTGACAAAGCAGCACCACTTTCATAAGTGATATTTTGAAGATGTTTTTCTTATCCAAGAAGGATAAGTATTTCTCAGCTGAAGTGAATCTCCTTGACTGAGCCTTTCTCATCCGGGAAAAAGCTGTAATTCAACACAATTGTCTCTGGTACTGTCACAGTAATGGACTCACTTCAGAAACACTGTGGAGTGTCACACAATGCAACTAGTCAATATGAGTCAGATAAGAGATGTCAGCATACCCAGCATAATAGTATATTTATCCTGTCAACTGCTCCCTCCATATTTTTCACATGTATGTGATTCCTTACCCGTTATCCTTAGTACCGTACAGGCTGCAGTGCCAATTTGATCAATTGCACTCCAAATGCTTTTAGGTGAAAGTACAGTGTAAAAATCATATATGTTGAAGGACCTTGAGATCACCTTGTCACAATTTTTCAACTTCCTGAAGAATAAAGGCAGCTAAACCTTTGATAGCAATGTCGGAGACCATCTTTACCTTGGGTGCACTAATGGGCTTTTTAATTTCAAACAGAAACTGTACTTGACTTGCTGAGGGTGATGGTTCTCCTTGTAATACTATTCCTGGGGCACCAAAAATTGAAAAAAAAAATTCCCTGAGGGAAAACTGCAGACTTAGGTCATTAGTGCATGAGTAAAAACAGTTTTACTTTCACCTAGCCAAGGTATCAATAGTTTAATGGGATGGAGGTCTCCAGCCCTGCATCTTGCTCAGCCACAGGGATCTCTTTGCTTCTACCACTTGGCATCTCCAGTCAGAGCTGAGGAATTGACATCTTTCTGCAACATTCTCAACTTTTTGCCATATTCCAGCTCCCAAAACACAACCTTAATTAACGCTCCATGTGGTTCAGCTGCTTTTCTGGTCTTTGCAACTTTTTCTACACTGAGGTGTTTTTCCTATTGTAACTTTATTCTGTAGTGCTTTTCTGGGTTCATGTAACTGCTGGGAATGTCAAAGCAATACGTGGAGTTTTAAGGCAGAGTCCCCTAATAGATATTTAAAAGCTGTACTATGACAATTTGCTTTGCAACCTATGAAGTCAACCAGGACCTCAGAGAACAGCTTAGAATTTAAAGCAAATACAGGAACATGTCCATTAATTTTCCCCAAATACCTGTGCTCAGAGTAACTGCTTCTTCTGTCTTTCTCTTAACTGTCTTGTAGCACTGGTAATTTTACAGATATGTCCTTATTTAGCCAACCAGCTTACAGAAACACAGCTTTCCATTGAAGACTAATTTAAAGCCTCAAGAGCATGTCCTCAGCTGTTACAAAATTACATAAGTGCAATAGGCTCTGTCATTTTACATCAGCTGAGAATCTATTTGCAAGGGCAAAATAAGTAGCTGCAGCTGCAGTTCTCTTCCTTGGGAGTTGCCCCTCATACACAACTGATTGCAGGTGGATGAGAGTTGGTATTTAAAAAGGGCAAGTTTTTGTCTTTTTTTTTTTCTTTAATATTTCTGGTAAAGTCATTCATGTGCTCTCTGATGGCTGCCCAGAGCCTGTAACCCACCATACTCCAGCTCAGAGGAAAGGATGTGGATGGACTTAGTTTGGAAAACAGATTACTAGATAATAAATAAAACATTCTCTCTCATATCATAATATGTGGAAGAAGAAAGATAAAATTGAAAATGTGACCCCTTTTTTCTTCAAGTAATAGAGTACCATTCAACAGACTTAATTATCCCTAAAGACACATCTAATAATTGTTGGCCTGTCAATCAAAAACCTTATTAGACATGCGCATGACGTCACACTACAGTCTAACAAATCTTCCTGCCAGTCAAAAACCTTTATATAGATTAATCTGATTTCAGATACAAGTTTTGTGTTTGACCTTTCACCCAACCTTTTCAAGGCTGTGATTAGAGAGGAGCTGGATCTTTCCTGTGCGCTACTGAGCTGGAATGATGGACTCTGAGCTATCCCTGAGAGTTTCCCTCCTGGTCATGTCCTGCTTTATGCTGTAGCATGGAGCCTTGAAAAGGGGTATGCCTTGGGTGGCTGAGTGACCTGGGATGGAATTGGTGGAAAGCAGTTAATGGCACTGCTGGCTACTGGACACACCACCTGTTCCGTTGGGGTCTCCTAGAGTCACTTCTCTTTCCTTCCCACAACCCAGACAAACTTTGTTTCTCACCTTTACAAGCAGGAAGTGGTGTTGTAGGAAGGCAATTATTCCACTGTGCTTGACACCCTCTACACTGCTGAAGACTGGGAAAGGTAGTGCCTTCCTACTGGACATGGCTGGTAAATCAAAACTTGGATGCACAGCTCCATTACAAACCACTTATCTTGATGGTCATGAGATTGGCAGTTGGATATTGAATCTGAAGAAGTAATAAATTTATTAGCAGATATTGCATCAAGCTTTGTGAACCCAATTGCACTGGCACTTGTAGTCTTTTTTGAACTGAAATAAAAGCAAATGGCAGGGGCTGAGGCTTTCAAGATAATATAATTTATCTTCTGGAAATCTACTATTTAGATGTCAAGCAAAACAATTTCACAATATATAGAAAAGATCTCATCTGGCATTGCTTTATTTTTATTGGTCTTTGATGTAACTTGAAAATATTACGCCATATTGTGGTGTTCAATTTTTTATAGATTTTTTGGACAGACTGATAACACAATGGAAAAAAATGTCTGTAATTAGACATAATTTCTAAAGCTGAGAGGCTTTGGAGAAAGCCACACAGCAAGCTTTCTTTGCATGTACAACTTCAAAGTGCTTCTTAGATTCGTGAACTACAGGAAGACTTGAAGTCTTGAAGACTTGAAACAGGGTAAGTGTCAGTAAACAATGAGAAAAAAATTCTGCATTCATGTCTGAAGGAGACATTTTTCCCTTCTGAGAGAAGCTAAACCTGAAATGCTCACATCTGCAGGACAAAGTGGCCATAGCAAGGTTGGCCTTGCAAGCACCATCTCGCACAGCCAGCATAAGCGGCTTCAATGCAGTTCTCCTTCTTGAGGAGTGCTTACAGAACAGGGGATTACTCACAGTTTTTTCTGGTTCAGAGGCACTTTGAAAACTTTCAGGTGATCTTCAGGTATGTTTCTTACAAGATATGTCTACTAATGCAACATTAGTTGGCTCCAGTGGGAGAGGAATGAGAGAGGACCATCTATGGGTCAGCCCATAGATACCCCTAAAATAGGATGGCAAGTCTTAGCGCAGGACCGCAGTTGTGCCAAGGCTTTTTGGTTTTGAGCATTTGAATGTGTTTTGTGCATTTTCTTATTTTTCTGCTTGGTTTCCAGCCTTTGTACAAAAATGTTTCTTCTTTAAAGCTGACATTTGTCCTTGCAGTTAAAACAGTAACAAGAAAAACCTAACCAGCCAAAAAGGGTGATTTATGAGGTTTTATAAAACTTTGTTGGAACAAAGATCATTTGAGTCATTCTCCTCTGATTCACCCACAGCTCATGTACAAGCAAGTCCCTTTCACAGAGGAATTAGGATGCACACAATTCCTAGTAAATTCAGCTGATGAGATGGCTCCACTGAGCCTCTCCATCATGGCAGTGACTCTTGCTGCCTGACCCCAGGACACATAGCTGATGCCACCTGTGACCTAGCATAATTCTGCTCTGCACATGGGCTGCTACATGTCCACGAGCTCATCAGAGATAAGTAGAGGGTTTTTATGAATGTTCGGGAGCTTGTTTCCAAAAAGCATCTTGCTCAAAAGTCATAAAGAAGAAATTGGTCCTTACTAGGACCAATTAAAGCTTTAGGCTACTCTTCTTTCACTTCCTCTTGGAGGAAGGTGAAAGGCTTGTAGACTAGCAACAGTCTGCAGGACCTATGGGGAATCATGAAAGCAGTCTTATGTTTTCTGGCTGATACTTCTGCCATCCTGGTCCAACACTTGCAGTTATATTGATGTGCATGACATTAAAGGGGACAAAAAGTTGCCCAGTTTTTGCCAGTTTTACTTTAATACTTTCTGCTGTGCTGGTCTAGAAGACCTTCTGTGAATCCTATATAACTTTGTCACTGAACGGTTAAAGAGGCAGCACAGGGTGGCTCTGTCATCACTGCCAAATCTGCTTTTTTCCTGGGACGACGTCATTTGGTGGTGGCCCCTTTCTTAGGATGATGTCTGCCCCTTGTTATATTTATTACACCCTATAGAACCCCCTACTTATAATAAATCACATATTCTTAGTAATATATAATTTCATAAAAATATAGTCTTTACTGAGTAATGTTTGGTGGTCTGGGAAGCAGAGGCAAGTGAACTGCATTCCTCAAATGTTGCCTGGCAGGGCACATCTTCACTGGGGGAGGATTTTTACTAACCTCTTACACAAACAAAAAAATCTTCATTTAATTCAGATGCCTTTTATTATAGTTTGAAGTTACCAACAAAATAACAAAGAAATAAGAGAGCTCTCCATGCAAGAAAAAAGCCACAACACCCTGCCTCTAAGGATTTGCAGGGCCTTGGAAATATGCTTAATTTAAACAGAAGTCTAGAAGTACTCTTAATTCAACCCAAGAGCAAATTAACTCTGAAAGGGATTATCTTACTCTCTCTTTCCCTGGCCATGGGGTCCCACTGCCCCTTTTGCGCAGTTTCCATGCAGTGGGTTGGATTGGTGTGAGATGAAATCATTATTCCATAAGATCATTCACATTACAGAGCTGTACCCTGGGATTCTGTCATTAAAACCCCCACAAGTGGTCCTCTAAAAGCCCTGCTTTTAACCATGCCAGAGTAGTGAAAGAAGGCATTTACACATTTTCCCCAAAGACCCAGTCCTTCCATCAGTCCTCAGAGCAGTTTGCTGACTGAATCTTCTATGTATTTAAATAATTTATCGTATGAATAAATACATTTATGCTGAGGGAAGGGGTTGACTGCTGGGACGCAGTAATGCCAACACAACAAAATTGAAGCTGGGGAGATGGAGGAAATGAACCTGTAACAATGGCAAGTGGTATCGTCTGCTCAGGCAGCAAGAGACAGCTGTGACCACGTCTGAAATGCGAGTGTGGGGACACACAGAGGAACATCTAAAAAGGGCTTTAGAATTAGCAGAGCTGAGCAAAAAAGAAGCTGCTGGTTTTGAGCTGCAAAAATATGTTTGTTATAAAATGACTGAAAATGAAATTGCAAGTTTTATGTGTCATTCCAAATTTTTCCGTTTGGAAAGTGTATAAGGAACATTCCTGTGCCTTTTACTTTCCACTGACATTTAAGAAACAGAAGTCTCAACTCCTGCCAAACAATCTGTCACCCCAAGCCCTTGACCTGGGCAACAGATGAAGGCATGTTACAGATGCATGGAGCGCAAAGACTGAAAATATTAAAAGCCAGATCTCAAGTAATGTAATCTGGCTATGGTCCAGCTTAAACCAGCTGCTGATCAGCTCCATAAAGATCTTACAGCAGTAACAGTTGGGGGAACGGTGGTTTGCACGCGGTGAGCACCGATGAGGGTTATCTAACTAGGCATGCTTTGCTTGCATTTGTGGCCAGGAGATTGATTATATAGAGGATTTTTAAAATCCCTCTTTCTTTAGCTGTTCTTCAAAGAAATCATTACATGCCACAGTCAAAGCAGCAACCAGAATGACAAATTCATTAAAATCCAATTCATTGTCATCATTGGAGTCCAGATCTTTCATAATCTTATCGACCAGGAGTGGGTCCTTTTGGCCCTAAAGAGAAAGAAAATTGACTTAGCTGTGCAGATATTGAATGTGTAATTCTGACACACCCAGCAGTACAGCCCACTGCTATGTTATGAGACTTGTGCTATTAAATAAAATGCAGCATCAAATATGCACCTGAACAGTAAAACAGCATCAGAAACTGAAGACAGTGCAGCTCTTAGAAGGAATACAGGTACTAAACAGGCACTGAAGTGAATCAAACAGATTTTAGGAGATGGTGAGCATGGATTCCTTTTGACAAAATAGATCTATAATGTGCATTTCTCTATCATCCTTTAACAAAAAGTACTTAGATTTTCAACAAGCTATTCCTAAGTGGTCATTTTATACATCCATTCATCACATTCAGAAGATCTCTTCTTGACAAAAAACACATCCTATTCAGGGGGAGTAAGAACATTGAATCTCAGGATAATAAATAATAGCCAAGATTAAAGGAAAATTCAATTCAAGAAAACAGATATAATGTAAAGAAAAATCCTGCTGGTGGTCATAGGGTCCACAATAATTTTTACAATTAAGAGGATACATAAAAACATTATTATTAATGCTTTCAATTCCATAAAAGCATCCATGCTGTGTAATGTAAAACACAAATGTGCAAAGAGATATTGAGATCAGCAGCTTATCACCGAAAGGCTTTTCTCAGCATCCCTCTGCAAGGCACACAAGCGGCTGTACTGTGTGGCCAGTGTGCACAAGCTACTTTCCTGTCTCATGAGAACTGGTTGCTGCATTTAGTTCTTCAAGGATTTATCTATATCTTATTATTGAAAATGAAACAAACAAACAAACTAACTAATTAAAGCCTTATTGAGCATTGATTTTGTTGCTGCTTCTAGGCTGGCCTCGCCCCCCTGCTCAAAAGTGCTGAGGAACATGCAGAGCACAGGTACCCACCTCTGCTGCTGGTGGTACATGGCAGGGCACTGGGGCTCGACCACTCTCTGAAAACACACTTCTTAAATGGGACATTTGACCTCATATCCTTCTGTACAGCTCCACGAAGAACTGTCATCTGAGAAGCTGTGGCAGGATGGGCCTTGCAGAAGGAGATGCTATTCCTACCCAAATACTTGGACAGCTGCTTATCCCACCCATGAAACAGTAATCCAGGAGGTTCAGAAGATGCATCTTACTGAAAGGAAGTCAGTAAGCTCACTGGCGAGAAGCTCCTTGAGTTCTCCTTTACTGAGCTTGTATCTGTCTCCTTCTTTGCCAGAGTAGTGATGGAAAATCTTGATCAAGGTGTCCATTGCATCCTTCAGTGGTGTGGTCATAGCAGTGAGTGGGAGAGCTGTGGGGCAAAGATACAGAGTCAGTGACATTGCAGAGGAACCAAACCAAGTGCCAGTCTCTGGGAAGAGACGGAGGGCCAGCTAAAGAGAGAAATTGTTACCCAGACTGAAAAGTTGGGCTTTCAGTTGGTCCATCTCCTTATATGCATCTGAGCAAGGATGGACCGTAATAAAATAAAACATTGTCCTGAACTCACAAGCAATTATTTCAAGAAGTAAATGGAAAGGAAGGTTTTTATTTCAGAAAGTGATCTACTGTGCATCTATTTTGCAAAGCTGCTGTAAAGGGAAATCTTTTGCACCCATAAGTGAAAACACGGGGAAAATGAAGGCTTACCCCCTACCTGCTCATTTAAAAGTTTTCTCAAGAAAATAAGTTCAACAAATACCAGCAGCCAAAGTGAGTGCACATTGATAAAGAAAGCTCCACATCAGTTTAGAGATGGTTAGAGGAAGACCACCAGTAATAAAGATGAAAGTGTCAGCTTTCAATTTACTCTGTTGTTTGCTTGGGCTGACCCTTTTTCATGTAAATTGCCTGCAATATAAATAAATGTGAGCTGAGCACCACAAGGTTTGCTTCATCGAGCATGCAGTCAGAAGGTACACAGAGAAGCAACACCATGAAAAAAAAAGATGGAAATACAATTACTTGCAGAGTATCTGACTCAAAAAGTAACTAAAAGTAGAAATCAGGTATAAGGGAAACACTGTTGATTAGGCCCCAGGAGAAAGTTAAAAAAGCGAGAATGCACTTCAAAGTAAGACTGGAGTCCTGAACAATAACACTGTGCAAAGGCTAAGACTTACCTGCTCTACAGTCTAGCTGAGGTGTATGCAAGAAAATACTCAGATCACAGAAGGTGACGGTCACTTTCCTTTCAAAATGCATGCACAGGCTCTTGTTTATCAGGCTGAAAGGGTAGATTACACAAATAGAGACAGACGTATAATTGTCACAAGAATGGTGGGTCTTCTGTTTCCACCTGCATTTGCCTACTCTGTTCAATAAAAGCCTCTTGCTGTAACTGGGTCACTGAAATATGCACTAGGCAGATCAGAGAGCTGTGTTTGGAACGTAGGAGATATTTTTTAACATATGACCTTTCACAAATATGCCCATTTAGGGGCCTAAAGGTCAAAATTAGAAAATGTTAACAATCACCAAGTCAGTATAAAATAGCTTTCCATAATTTTCAAAAGAACTCTTTCTAATCTGTCTTTCAACACTTCTACAGTCTAAGTACCACATATCCCTTGAGACATCTACCTTAATTGTCAGAGATATCTGTAAACCTAAAACATTGCCTCTTTCTGAATGAAATTCTTGCTGTATCTTCAGGAGGAAATGAGGGAACTGGTTTCAGAGGAATGGAATTCCAGCATGTCCTGATCAACAGGCTTAGATTTATTTTTATAGTTCTGCACAACAACTGCAGTTCAGCATCTCTCCCTGAATAAATGACCTTGCCGCTGGAGGGCTTTGTCTGTCCCAACCCCAGAGACTCATTGACCCTGGGATTGATGGCTGGGGGATGCAGGAAACAGCAGCTTCACCATGGTGGGTCCTACTTACTACCCAAGATACCAGATAACCACAGTTTTCGTGACAGACACATGTAATGTAAAACTGCTTGCGCTGGGTTTGGTTTCCCTCAGTAAAGCCTTCTTCTACCTGTTGCACACACATGTCCAGGAAGCACAACTGTACAGATGAACAGGGCACAGAGCTGCAGCTCATTCTCTGTTTCATTCCAGCCAGAGGGAAAGACAATGAGGTGGGCTCTTGTCTTGGCCTCTGGGAAAAAAGGGAGGGAAGAAGGGAGCCAGGCACATAAAAATACTGGATTCCAGTGATGTAGGAAGTGACCATGTGTAAAGTGTTATTTTTGAAACAGGCAGGCTGTTCCGTCTAGAGGTGCCTGCAGACACACACAGTGCTGTGCACAGGGCAGACACCTTCACTCTCCATTGCTGTGGTTGTGAGTGCTCACCAGGGAAGGGGAGACCCAGTGCCCAGGTACATTTTAGAAATGGTCCAGGTGGAAACGAGAGGAACAAGAGGAACCTAATCTCTCCTGGAGTCAGAGGAGAGCTGGGGAGGAGAGCTGCTTTCCATACCTCTTCTGTATTTGGCAATAGCTCACGGGTGCTTGGTTTTGTGTAGGGAAGTCCCTATGCTTCAGTAAGCACTTGGACCTAGCTGGACCATATGCAGCACGTGGGAGAAGTACATTGGTGATATCAGGCACAGCACATCTCTTCCACTCAGTTCTGGGAATTCTCTGTATCTGCAGATGCAGAAGAAAAAGCATGGAGCCCTGCATGTAGCTACAGCCACAGGGTCCTGTCTTGCCTGCGATTCACTAAGGCTTGTAACTATTGTTCAGAAATATTAACCAGATAAAGATAAAAATACTTGGTTTAGGGTTTGGGTGTGGGGTTTTTTGTTTTGTTTTGTTCCCCTCCTCCCCCCATTTATTCAACAACAGTTTCACCCTCAAACAGAAAAAAAAACACAGCTGAGTTAATACATAAGTATGAAATCCTTCTGTTTGTCTATATATTATTACACTGATCCTCTGGTTAATGAATATTGCAAATTAATTATCTAAGCAGAGTCTACAGGAGGTACAACTTCCAGGAAGTGGGTGTAAACTTTCAGAGCTGCCATCCTCAGGACAGAAGAAAGACATCAGCTTAATAATTTATACAGTGATATAATATGTGCAGTCTCTTTCAATAGCTCCTTTCACTCCACTTTCTTTTCCACACTAGTGGATGACATGTGCACAGTGAACAGCTGCACTGAGCTGCACTTGTTTGTTAAGAGGTCCATGCCATTTGCTGTGTCCAGTCCTTTCCTTTCTGGCTAGTGAAATCCTGCCAGTGGCTCCAGTGACAGCAGAGGTCTCACAGCTTCTGTGAAGGCAAGTCCAAGTGCCTACTCAAAATTCATGATTATCAGTCAACTGTTTTTAATCCCTCATCTGACACTCCAACAAAATCTGGTTTACTAGGATAGCTAATGGGCACTGGAGATAAATAAAGTCAAAGTAGACTGAAGCACTTCTGTACCAGGCTAGGACCTGACTTCATGTCAGCAACCACCATTCCCTCATCAATCCTCACCCTGCACTCTGCTTTCCATCAGACTAAACACAGGAGCAACACCAGGTGTGTGGCTGAGAGAGAGAGTGGAACTGCAGCATGGCCAGAGACATGGTGAAGATCAGTGCCTTCCTCATTCATGATCAAACTTTGTCCTTCACAGCCTGCCAGATCACACAGTGCTGGTGGGAAGGCACCTCTGACATGCCTAGTTCCACTGCCTGCTCAAAACTGGATGACCTCCAGCATCAGACTAGGCAGCCACAGCTTTGTTTAGTTAAATTCTGAAAACCTCCAAGAAAAGAGATTTAACAATGGCTTCAAACTGACAGTGTAGGTTTAGATTAGATATAAGGAAGAAATTCTTTACTGTGAGGATGGTGACACTAGAACAGGTTGCCCAGAGAAGGTGTGGCTGCCCCATCCCTTGAAGTGTTCAAGGCCAGGTGGATGGGGCTCTGAGCAACATGGTCTAGTGAAAGGTGTCCCTAGCCATGGCAGGGGTGTGGGAACTAGATAATCTTTAAGGTCCCTTCCAAACCAAACTTTTCTATGATTCCACCGGAGAATGCTGAGAGAGGTGGAGGTTGTTCCTTGCCCTGTAAATCTGAGAAAGGACCCAACCAACAGTGACTGCTTCCTTTAATTTTAGTTGGGGTAATGTAAACATGCACTCAGCTGGGAGGCTCTGTGGGACTGCTTTTCCCCTCCTGCGTGGAGACAGGGCAGTCAGACCACAGGCAGAAAATCTTACTGCTGGTCTCTGTTCCCCAGAAAAATTAGCAGAGTTCTGCCTTGTGTGAAATCAGTCAGTCATTGATACAGGTCAGCAGTCTTCTTCCTCCACAGCTGGGAAGGAGAAGCTTTGGCTTATTCACCAGGATTTTTCCATTATATATTCTTGAGACAACATGACACAAACTGCCTTTAAGCCAGAGCAGTTTATAAAGTGTCATTCTAAGCCACAGTAAAATACTAGTCAGCTTAAGTGTGAGAATCTTGTACTTGGGGCATCTGGCTTTCAACATTTGCCAGAATGCATATGGGGAATATTTTCTCACAAGTAATTATTGTGCTGGGGAAGGCAAGTCGGCTTCCCACCTATATCCTATCATTATTTATTTTTCCCAAACTCACACTTGTGTTCTTTGTTCCCTTCCTCCCCCAAGAACATATGTTCTTCGTATGAACATATTTTGAATCAATATTGTACCCTCAAAGTGGGAAAAGGTGAAATGGGAAGTAACAGGGAATGCAAGGCTCAGAAGGATGTTTATACTACACACTAAAAAGCCTGTGTTAGATCAGACCCTAGATTAGACTGAAGAGTGTATTAAATAGGTAAGGAGTTTATAAGAGACTTACATTTGAACCATCATTTCTTGTTAAATTATAATGTGCATTTTCACATTTTTAGTATTGTTAGCATTTTCATTAGTGGTTTGTTTCCATATCTGGGTGGCTGATTGATTTATTCATTTATATCAGGCATGTCTCTCTCCCCTGCAGGTTCTGGTTCACATCTTCAAGACTGTTTTAACTGCTGTGATCCCACAGAAAGCAGAATAGCAAAGAACTGTTAAATCTCTTGCTAATAGCTTTTACCACATAAATTTGGTGGTTTATTCCATAGGCATCTTTTTAATGGGTTACACTTCAAAGGCTGCCCAACTGAAGCATATCTTGATATTCTCTGCTGAGTGCTGAGTTTTGGACAAGCTTATACATGTCTTTTCCAAATACATAACTTACTTTTTCACTGAACCGTCCAGATCATTGAACTCTGTCTGTTCCCATAGCGGTCATTTCTCTTGTGATACCCACTTGGCATTGTCTGTACTTGAGGTACTGACTCCAGTTACCACCTACTGCTTTCTTCTCCTCAGAGGAAACTGGTCACCATTTCATTCCGCTGCCAGCAACCATTCATTATTAGCTTGTGAAGGCAACATCAAATTGTATATGAATGTACTGTTATCTGTAAAATAGAGTAGAAATTTTTCATTAACCCTAAACTGGAGTTCTGAAGTATTTCTGGCTACAGTTCTTTCTTCTTCATAAGCCTCTGAAGCAGATGTATCTATGCAGCAATTTATGATTTTAATGCAGTCTATCTACACCCAGGAAGGATGTCAAAGTAATGTAAAATATCCTGGTGTAAACACAGAGTCTGAGATAGCTCTGCCTCAGGTAGTGGCAGGGGATCCTGTGACAGGGCATCTCAGTGACAGCTGGCTTTGGTAGCTCACATTACAGCTAGAACTCGGCAATACCTCACCCTTTGAACGAAGCCAGGACAGTAATTCCCTTTGCATCAGATCCACCAATCAGTAAGGCAAATCCACCCCTTGGAGACATGCTAGTTCTGACTGACTCATGTTTTTTCCTAATTCAAATTCATACTGACATGCAGTAGCCCTTATCCTAATTCACTCCAATGATCAGTTCCTTCCACAAGGTTTTTGCAGCTAGGCTTGGGTTATGTTTCACAATTAAAGGGACATCCTGCAGGGGGTGTTCCTGTGTCACAGGATGGTGGCCAACTCACCTACCAGGTTGTAGTGGTAAGAAAAGCTTTATACAGATTTTCTATGGTCCTAGGTGGCTGCCTCAGTTCCTCCTTCCTGGTTTCCAACTATTCATGCAGCAGCTGTTACTTTGGGAATGGGACTTCTGAGGCTTGTACGACTAGCTCTCTCTGCTGGCAAGGAGTGCCTCTGAGCAGTGAAGGCCCCTGGCCTATACAACTACACGCTTGTACATGTGCTTGGCCATGCCATAATGTATGGGGTGGCCACCAAGACTCCTGAAGCATAGCTCACCATATCTTTTCCATCCTCTCTGCTCTGCCTGTGAGCTCAAGTGGGTCCATTTGCAGCTGACTGGTAAATAAACTCACACCTTCTTCATCACCAGTGCCAAAATAAATCTTACCAAAAGATGCAACAAGAAAAAAACACTCCAGACCAACTTGATTTAACATTCTTGGCCACTGCTGACGTTAAATCAATATAGAAAAATGAGGCAAATACGGTTTTCTCTTAGTTTGTATGTATATAAAAAACGAGGAATATTCTTTTGGTCTGGGGCTGCCCCTTAGTGTCCTGCTGAAGAACTGCTGCTTCCAGATCTCAGGCTAGTAGCAACTCCCACAAGTTGCGGGTCCCAAAGGAGACAGGCTCCCACCTGTCTGCTCCAAGATACATGTTTTACCACTGCATTACTATGGTAAGATCCATACAAAGGTCAGCATAATCAACACTAAGCAACACTAAGTAATATCATTAAAAACTACAGAGAAGAGACATACCCATTGCCCACAGCTTGTTAGCTGGAGGTATAAACACTGCAGAGAATTTAGTTCTTAACACAGGTCAAGGAAAGAAACTAGGCTGCCAACGGATACCAGGAGAAGAGGCACATAGAAAATGGCTAACTGAAAGACAGGAAATAAACAATAAATTACTGAGTTTTACAAGTGAATGGCATAATCAATGGGGACCCCACAGGCACCTGTTCTAGAGCCGGTGCTATTCAATATATTCACTGGTGATCTGGGAAAGGGAGTAGAACAAAGGGATACTTTTTTTTTTGTTGATACAACAGTTAGTTGTATCAACTGTACTGCAGAGACAGTAAGTTAAGGTCCAGCTGTGAAGAATGCAGAAGGACCTCATTAAAGTAAATGACATAGTGTCAGATAAATTAAACACAGAATAAACACAAAGTGGTATGGGGAAAATCAATTCTTTTGTACATACCTATGAGTTCTGAGTTGACTATGTGAATTCATGAAAGAGATCTTGGGGTTACTGCAAGTGAAAATGTTGGTCTAGTAAGAGTCTGAGAACAAACAGAATTAGGAAAGAAATGGAACACAGAAAATCAGGAGTGTTTTTATGCCACTAAGTAAGTCCAAAGGTAGCCCACTTATTCAAAATCATGGTGGTCCTCCTACCTCCTACCTTCATCTTACACTCAACACAGCAGGATTAAAAGAGACAAGGAGAAGAGCAGCAAAGAGACAACTTCTGTTTTAGAAACATAAGGCATCTCAGTCTGCAGAAGGATGCAACTGGGAATGTGAAAGAATTACTTATATTTGAGAGCAGCACGGAGAAGGCAAAAAGTTCATCATTTTTTTCCAATACAAAGTTATGGAGGGCAAAACCCCCTAACAACCTAATTCAAAACCAGCAGAAGAAACCACTTTTAAGCTGCTAAAATGCTTGCTGTGAGAATTTTCTGGGAAATACTTACTGAGAGCTTGTGTCTTACAAAAGCTTGTGTCACCGAGACTTTTCTAAAACATAAATCACAGGACACGGTTAGTATTCCGGATAAGTACTAGCCTTGCCTCTTTCCTACAGACCTGTGTCAGCTGCTATTCCTAGTAGATTTCCACATGAGAACTTGCTTTTCCTTGACATGAAAAGCCAGTTATATTCTTATGTTGTCTGGAAAAAAAAAATGTCCTGACAACAATATGGGATAATCACTAGTTCTGAAAAAAAGTCTCTGCATTCCAGAAGAACTGTGTGGTTTAAACAGATATCCCAGTAATATTGGAATAGGGAGAAAATTCATTAAACAGTCTGAGGTAGACAAAATACTAATTTCTGGGGCAAGGTTATAGCATAACCTGTGAAAGCAGTACTTTCAGGATGTTCTCACAGACATTACAGCTACAGTTGCTCTGAGGGATCTGCTCTAGAAAAGTGAATTTTTGATGGTACTAGGAAAGGAACTGGACCAACACTACAGGAGCAATATGTGTCTCAGCAGGAGCCAGCCTGAGTGCTATAGGTTGATGTAAACTAAGAGTCAGAGGCAGATGTTGTTAATACACAATTGATATAATTGTCTTTAAAAGACAGGGAAATTAGTTAATTAAACTGGTTGTTCCCAGTTTAATGAACACCATAAATAGCCCAGAGATAAGTTGTGTGCATGTGCAAACCAGGAACAGCTGAGATGGTGGAAGGTACAGAGAAAGCTGACAAGCATAATTTCCTCTTCACACATTAGAGTTTACTTAGAATGTGGGGCTGCATGTTTCCTCTCCATTTAGAGGAGAAACTGAGAATAACTGTGCTGTGCAGATACCCTCAAGTGTATCAGCAAGACACCCTGCCCTGCTGTTGTGCCTCCATCCCTCCCCTTTGCAGGGTAGTAGCAGGAGCCCTGGCAGGTACCTCATGCCAGCAGTACCTTGCTGGCCAGTGAGGAGGTTCCTTCATGTCAAACAATGTGATTGCCTCATGGGCTTCCTGGCTTCCTAGCTCACACCCCAGTCACACACTCCCCTGTCTCATATCACAGCCCTATGTCACTCAGGATATCTGGTGCTGAGTGGGTAAATATAAGCCCAGCATGGTGACAGAGAATACACTTGACTTGTGTGTCACTGGATACAGCTTAAAGTCATTCTCCAGCCTTTGCCACCATTTGCTGTGTAGTGTTGTTCTGACCCATTTCACTACTTCTTGCTGCTTTTATCCTTCTTCCATGTTTCCCATGCATGACACTTGTGATGCCTTTCAGCCCCTGCATTTGTAGGAAGGGAGTCCCTTGGCTCTAGCAGACCTCACTGTGTGTCACTCTGCAGCATAAGTTTCTCTTACAAGGTTATGCATCATTTCCCATCATCCCATTACAGGAAGCCTGATTTTTGTTGCTGGTCAGCTAATTCACTTTCAAGTATGCTATATTAGATACACAGGATTTATGTGAATGGAACCAGTTTCACCAAACACCTATAAGTGCATAAAAACAAAGACACTAGATGTTGGAAGAGACAAAGTAGACACAAGCAATTGCAGAACTATTCCTCTACCAATACACGTAATGGTTAGAATGTGTCATCACAATTTGGAAATAAACCTGAATAAAATCACTGAAGTGATTTAAAATGGGTGAGTAAAAGTTTTGAAGGACAGAAAGTCTACAAAGCAATTATCTACATTGTCTACGTGCCACTAAAATTAGTCATCATGTCTGTTGTAGAAAACAGAGCAACTTTGTACATATCCACTTAGAAATTTACTGCTATGTTGCCTTCTGAAAGGATGAGAAATGTTTTATTGCTCTTACTCCATTTCCCAAGTACCCCTATAACAAAGTCTTCACATCTCCTCCCTGCCATGCTGAACAATATTTCAACTTCAAAGAACCACATAACACTGTTTACCTTCTTTCTTGGTTGCACAGGTTGCACTCAAACTCTGTGAGTCCAGTGAGCTTTCCACATCCATTATTCCTAAGAGTTTAATAACATTTGTATTTTACTTTCTAAGAGGTATAGATCACTGTGAAAGGAAATTCCTTCATAATTAGAACCATATGAATTTCTGTTATTTGCTTTTCAGATATCTGACCAAAGGTCCTGAGCTATGAAAAGGAGAATGTCAGTGACTGATATAATATGCAACATTTTTTAATTTATGCTTTTATTTCCTCTGCAAGTATTTTTTTGCCTTTTTTTTGCTGTGATTTTAGAGTGAAATCAGATTTTAACTTTATGGAAAATCTTTTCCAAACTAACTCTTTTGCCATTGTTTAAAGGTTGTTTAAAAATCACACTGTTATTTCCAGCAAAAGCAGGACAGACAATACACTGACACAAATGCTGAGACTGGTACTAAATGATATTTTAGATCTACTTTTGATAATACAAAGCACTATCATCCCTGAAATAAAAAGCCTAATGATATCGCCACCCATACGTTCTCTCTTCTTCTAGAGAATTTCTGTTTCTTGGGGTAATTGGCAGATACAAAAGGGTGGCAAGTACATGCTATCATCTTGTTGCCTTTGTGTTGAGTCAGATGTTTAAATATGTTCATTTTGGTACAAAAGTGAAAGTATCCTTGTTTGATTGCTAGAAATTGCTAGAAATAAGCAATTTCAAACACTTGAGGCTGTCAAGACTCCTTGGAGTCATACTGTGGCAGAAGTATGGCAGAACTAGTAGTAACTATCAGTAGGGAC